GAATTCGAATAGGAAACATGTTGGAGATATCATTTTGAAAGGGAAAGGCCGCTGAAATTAACATAACAATCCCAAAGATCAATTCTGCTAAACATGAATTTGCGACTATCATCATCGGAATCGTGTAACATGTCGTATCGAATGCAATAATAATGATAAAAAAACAGCAAGTTCAACAGATAAAGAAGTAAATGATATCGTTACAATATCCATAGGCATAAACCATGATCGAAAAGCATGTTCCAAATGTCTTGTTCACTGAAACAATCGTTTTCTCTTGGTGAAACTTTTAAAAAAAGTCACGTTTTAATCAATGAAGTGACAAATCGAAAAGCGCATACGTGTTTTATCACTACGTCCATCATTTCAAACGAAACCCATAAAAAATGTCACAATATATTTAACACTATGGCACTCATCAAATCAAAGATGAACAATAAAAATCGTCTGACTACTAAAGGTAGGAAACAAGATTATGTAATTTCGTTCTCAATTGAACGAATAAGTCAAATGACATGTAACCAGTGTACTCACGATACACGATGTAAAGAAGATGGCATAGACAATGTGTATATGTGTCTTCCGTGATGTGTGACCGACATGCTTCAATAAAGATATGACAGTTCTTTTTTCTGCTTAGATTTTTCTTTTTTTTCAATGCGTCTACTTCGATGTCGTCGCTTGTTGATATACTTCATTTTCTCATATATTTTGTTTTTCGTGATTTTGTTTCGTGAAAAACTTCAACTAACTACCACTCGATCACCAGCGACGACTTCTGATACTCCAAAAAGTAAAGCTCTGATCTTTAGATCGGAACTCATCTTCAATGCTTCTAGTCGCTATCAACTTGATCTTTCTAATTGTTGGACTGATCTCGATTATCAACAATGGAAAGATGGAAAATATTTTCCTACAAGGAAACCCAAAGGTAATATTGTTTACATGGTACAAACAGGCGAGAAGAATCTACGGACTCGTTGTGATATAATGATGTGTACATTCGGTGTTACGCTTCATCCATCGCGATTGTTTTTCGTTGGAGAAACAGCATCGGATAGTCGATTGCCAGTTTATAATGTTGTCAAACCAAACACACCTCGACCGGTGAATCGTAAAGGAAGTATGCAGAAACTAGCACAAGGTTTAGATATGGTCGTCAGCAAACTTCGTGAAAGGGATTATAATAATGAAATTGAATGGATTATGGTTATGGATGATGATACATTCATTTCGCCACCTAATTTGAATTTATTAGCTGCAGAATATGATTCACAAAGACCGGTAATGATCGGTCAACATACTTGTAAAGTTGGATTTTGTGGTGGTGGTGGTTATTTAATTTCTCGGACATTGTTTGTTCAATTACCAGCTTTCGTTAAGAAATGTCGACCACATGATGGACTTTGGGATAGTGATCAGTTTGTACCAGATTGTATCAGGAGAAAAGTTCAAGTTGAATTAATCGACCGAAAAGAATTTAATTCGCAAAATCCAGAATTCTATTCTACGCCATTAGGCTTACGAGATCATCCGAATGGATTTGGACGAGCAGTTACTTTTCATTACATGAAAACACCGATGAAATACGTGAATCTATGGAGACTTCATCAGGCATATATGAGAGAATAACTCGTATGGAAATTATCTACTTTTCAAATTTCCATTCGAATTTTGAATGAGTCATCGCTCGCATATCCAGTTGCGCTACAGAGAAAACTGCATGTTTTCATTCGTTTACAATGATAACTCAATTTTGCACTTTCTCGCGTATAACTTCTGTCTTTAGTCAATACTTCATAAACACGTGCTTTTGTATAACATACATTACTTATCAAGAGACAGGACTCGAGCATCATTTTCCGTTTTTCTCCTTACATTAATAAAATCAGCGAAGCATTACGAATATTTGTTTTGTAATGGAGGAAGCAGTTGTTCCTGGACGTTTTACTGATGTTGCCGATGAGCCCGAGCAAACTCTTGTACCACTCAAAGGATATGAAGAGTGCGATATAGTTTCCATTGAAGAAGCGCTGGAACCAGTTCGCGATTTACTTTATAATCTTGATGCGATGATTTATACGGCACGAAGAAATAGTCGAAAACCAAGAGATAACTTAACTGAAGATGAATCAGCTGCTATTCATTTATATACAATGCAATGGCCGAAACAACACTCAAGTTTATATAAACTACTGAATGAAAGACTTCGTTCGGTCGATCGTGAAGGCCTGAAGCCATGGTTCCTTTATTTAAGATTACCTTTAAACGCACTGTATAAACTTCCATCGCAGAAAAAAATCGTTTGGCGAGGTGTTCGAGGAAATCTGTATGATCAATATAAAGAAGATCAAATCTGGTGGGGGGTAAGTTCGTGCATTGAAACGATGCAAGTTATGGTGAAATTCATCGGTATCGAAGGTATTCGAACGATTTTTCAAATCGAGTGTTTCAGTGGTAAAATGATTCGAGATCATTCGTATTACAAAACAGAAAATGAGATTATTCTCTCACCGGGATGTTTCTTTCGAGTTGTTGAACGATGCAAAATAGGAAAGGATCTATACATGATCCAATTACGAGAAGAAGAATCACCATATGAAACTGTTCCTCCTTTACCTGACTTATTTAAAAAAGTAAACGAAAGCACTACAGTAAGTGCTCCATACATCTTGGACGGTCCTGGCATGGTTCCTTGGTCTAACTTAAAATCTGTATGTTTTTGTGTCGTTGTCTTGCTTTTGTCATCACAAAATTTCTATGTTTATTTAGATCATACATAAATCATTGCGATCAAGAAAACAAGCCATTGAAACAATAGCTGGTGGAAATCGAAGAGGTTTCGATTTAGACCATTTAAATAGTCCACACGGAATCTTTATAGACACATATGACACGATATACGTGGCTGATTATGAAAATAATCGAATTGTTGCGTGGGAATCTCGACGAAAGACGAAAAGAATTCTTGTTGGTAGAAATCAAGAAATCAGTCGTCCAACTGAAGTTGTTGTTGATGAACAGAATGGGTCATTGATCATTGCTGATTTGGGTAATAAACGAGTAATTCGTTGGTCGAATGGAAGTCAAGAAATTCTCGTTGAAAATATCGAATGTTTTGGCTTAGCGATGGATACGGATGGATTTATTTATGTTTCGGATTGGAAAAGAAATGAAGTAAGACGATTAAAGAAAGGTGACATTGAAGAGCGAGTTGTCGCTGGTGGAAATGGCAAAGGAGACAATAAGAATCAATTGAACTGTCCAGCGTCACTTTTCGTCACTCACAACCAATCAGTTTACGTATCAGATTCGAATAATAATCGTGTTATAAAATGGAGGAAGGGCGCTCGCGAAGGAACTATTGTTGCTGGTGGCAATGGTGTAGGAAAAAGTCTGAATCAACTAGACAGTCCGCGAGGGCTCTTCGTTGATCATCATCATCGCATCTATATCGCTGATAATTGGAATGGTCGAGTTATGTGTTGGCACGAAGGCGATCGCGAAGGTGTAGTTATTGCTGGGAACACTAATGATACCAAAGCAGCAAATTATTTATCTTCTCCGCGAGGCTTAGCGTTTGATTCTGAAGGAAATCTTTACATTGCTGATTTGGGTACTCATCGTATCCAAAAGTATAGAAATCATTGAGATTTTAAATCTGCTGGTTCGAATTTAGACTGCAAATAAACTCATCGATCAGCCGAACATGAACCTATAATAAATGTGAAAGATTCCGAGTTACATTCGAATGCTACATGTACTGTTTAAAATGTTATTTCTTCTTGTANTGATAATTCGTTTATTTCCAAGACGAATTTGAAAAACAGGACCGAGTTTTTTCGATAGTTTTGATAGTGCAAGAGAATGGTTTGTGCCTAGTTGAAATAAGCTTCCAAAAATAGGCCAACCGAATGCTTCGGGTAAACCACGAATTTTCGGTACATCAGTTGAATCAATTATTTTAAAAAGAAGATAAATAATAATACCAACACCGAGTAAGAGCGTGATCATTTCTTAACATGTGACAAATAAAGAAAGAAAAAATTTTCTTTATCTTCGATGACTTGTATGCATATACTCTTATCAACTTTCGTAGTCATGCGAAGAAAAACGATATCTTATGAAAGTTAACATGAAGATTAATGAAGCAATTATTTGGAATTTGAGTATTTTTTTACATAGTCGTTATTTTATTGATGTCATATAATATGAATATGTGTGAATCTCTGCATTTGTTACACCATCCAGTGTCTCAGCCAACGGGAGGACAAACATTCTTCTGTCTTTTCAATAATTAACCTTCGCTATTCAAAAATTTGAAAAATTTCGCATTTTATTGTATCTTGTACAGTACACTTGATCTTTCGTCAACTCAAAAAGCTAGCCAAACACTTAAATCAACGTTCATATCTAGACTTCACCCACACCCACACCCTCACCCACATGTGAAACAACAGTTTTATCGTTACAAACTTCTGTTACTCATTTTCGTATGTTGGAAATTTTATTCTTGTTTTTATTTTTACTTTCATCGTTCGTACCTTGAATTTTGAAGAGCTTCTTGTTTGCCGACCACTCCATAAATAAAATTACGGGTGAAGCAGAGAAAGAATTTCTCCTTGCTTATCGGCAACTACCGAGTTGCTTTTGTTTTTGTGTTTAGAGAAAAAGCATACATTGATACAAACTTTTTTCTCCATTCTATTACAAACATTTTTTCAGTCGATAAAAGTGTACGATAGTGAAGACAAACAGCTTCTGCTTCATTCTTTGCAGCTATTCTTCGAAAAAAGGTAGGAGCGTTTTAATTCATAGTTACTTTGTTACGTGTCCCACCCGTATAGAACTCTCAGTTTTTAACACTTCCCGTTTTCGATAATTATGGCAACATCTACACCTAATCTAGCAGTTTCGCGTTACTCCGATTTTCGTGACGAGCCCGTTTCGCGTTTACTCGCTCCTATTAGTGGCTATCAAGATAAGCCACTGGTTTCGTTAGAAGAATCAATAGAACCGGTAGCCCATCTATTTGAGGATATTGCATCAAATATTTGGGTATCGAAAGTGAATTGTCAGAATCCAGCGAACGGTCTCACTCAAGACGAGGCCGCTTCGATTCATTTATACACAATGCAGTTTAGCACGGATCCATCGCTCTATCATGCCCTTAACGACAAGTTGCGCTCAGAAAATCGGAATTCCTTGAGACCATGGTTTTCTTACTTGAAATTATTCTTAACGGCCCTTCACAAACTTCCGTCCCATGCTCAAACCGTCTGGCGTGGTATTCGTAACGTAGATTTAAGTTCGAACTATCCCACTGGAAGCAAATTCGCGTGGTGGAGTGTAAGCTCATGCACCATAAGCATGGAAGTACTGGAAGCCGAGCACTTCTTAGGAAATACCGGCCTACGAACCTTATTTTCCATCGAGTGTCAAAATGGAAAATACATCGTACCTTACTCATACTTCAAAGACAAAGAGAAAGAAGTAGTCCTGATGCCTGGATCGTATTTCGAAGTTGTTGGTCAATTACATCCGGCAAAAGATTTACATATTATTCATGTGAAAGAAATCCCATCTCCATTTCCTCTCGTAAAACCACCATTCAAAAAAGAAGCTTCAAGTATTGTTACATTTTATAACAAATGCCAATTTCTATCTTTTTCTATATTTTGCTTCTCCATTATAGGTAGTGAACCAATTAAAAATAACAATGACAACTCACCCACAAACTTCAAACAAACTCCAGCAAAGGTTGCTATGCCATCACCTGCACCGCCACCACCCGTAGTGCAAAGTCAGTACACGACATATATGAATTCGATTCTGTAGATTTATTTGCCCATGTAGGCAGGAGACGTGCAGAAGGATAGTCGTTTTATATGATAAGGGTTCGTCAGACTTTTTTGTCAGATTGTTTTTTTCTCGATCATGAAAACAAAATTCAATAATAGAATTCCAGAATCGAAGTTCGACATACAGTTTCACATATTGAGGATGATGATTCAAAGATCAGTTTGAAAAGACAACTATAACCCTGTTTAAATTCATATTTGGTACAAATATAGATACTGCCGCTTTAGTATTCAGGATGGGCGAGTATTCATAGTTGAGGAGTACTTTAACTAAAATGGATTTCACAAGATTCTTTTGTTTTGTATATTTGTTTTGAACTAAAAACAAGAAAAAGAAAAATATAGAAGACTATAAATCTGTTTTCTTTAATTCAAATGAGTTATATTTATAATCAGAGATATACAAGATAATATGCGCAGATTAACGAGTTAAAATTTGCGTTTATCACTCAGTTTTTTCAGCAATACTAAATAAATACAATCATTGACAAACATCCATAGTTTCATATACTTTTATCTAGAAGTAACAAAACCACCAGCACCGAAAACCGTAGCATCAGCATCACCAATCTCCAAGAAGGTTGACTTTTTCAAACAGTTTCTTATTAAGTAATACTCAGCTCTCATATTCATTCGTAACAAATTCTTTACTGGCGACAAAATAAACGAATATACTTTTTGTTCAAACTATTCTCTTGTTACACGATCATTCGCAATATAATTGAATCGTTCTACAGTTTGAAACATGACAAGACGAATGAACAATATATTGGTGGCAATCAAAATAATTCACGTCCCACGTTATCTTTCATGCCAAAATCACATTGGTTACTTTCTCTTTTAATGCACACAATAAATTGCTACAGTTATGCTATGAATGATCTCTTCGTCCTACAATCCCTCATTCAATTCTCGATCAATAGTATCAACAATGTCATTGATCAGATAAGCGAATAAATTATTTGCTCAAGATGTAAATAGTGTTCACTTTGGTACTGATTGATACATCTCAACAGTTACACTTATCTTACCATTTCAATTACTCTAACAATTGAACAGAGGAATGATAAATGCATTGTAAAATATTCATTTGTCGAAAGCTATTCGATGTATATATCGTTGAAAACCATTGGAAAACCTATTTTCATAGATAAATGAACGAGAATATGATATCATTTATTCGTTAATTATTCTATCATTCACCAGTGCGATACTTTCTGTTTTGTATTGAAATGATCAACATAGACCAATAAAATCTTTGGCGAACTTTGATTCGCATACAGTTTTTATGTTCTCTCGTACTAACAAACAAAAATAACCCAAGAGAATCAAATAAGAAATGAATTATCGAGTTATCAATTTCATACATTTCTTATTTAGTCACTCTCAATTTACTTTAAATGAAATATTTTATTTGCTCAGAATCAAAGATACTGAATAACAATTTGATGGTGATTTCAATTTTGCATATATTATACCATCGCCGATGGATTTGACATTGTCTAAGTTCCTATTTATATTCGGATGAGATATATGAACAAAACTATTTGGACATAAGCGTTCAATTCTGATGTGATCGTTACTTGTCGTATTATATCGATGAATTTTCTTCGAACATATACAATTTCAATGAATATTTCGATCGTCAGAGCTATTCATTTATATAATTCATTTCGGTCCTTTTCGTTTGTGAAGCTCCTCTTTACGTTTCGATTGTCAGAATTGAACAAAGTGATGATACGAATTATTCATTCCTGGTATCATTTATTATCATATGATTCATAATCTATTCTATATTTAAAAAGAATGAAAATAATTGAATTAGAGAATTGGGAAATACTAGTTCATTGAACTTGTTTAGTTCAATCTACTGTTTGCTATATTATTTTTGTAGTTATGGTCAGATAATTAATGGATAAATATTGCGTTGTAATTGTTCAGTTACTTTGAAATAAACCATTGGATAAAAAAATGAAGATTTTGTTTCACGACTAATACAATAGAGAGATGGGAAATTTACCGAACGCCTTTTTTATTATTATGTAATCGAGTGATAAAGTGATATATTCGTGAACTTTTATTGATATGAATAAAGAAACCGAACAAAACATCAATTGTTATTTTTCATTTATCTAATCATCTTTACCAAATCGTAAAACTCTTTCGAATTACTTTGACAAGAGAGATATAAGCGAATAGAATTCTAAGCAATCTAATCTTTATTCCTTGATGACATCATTGATGAGTTATCAACAAAAGACAATAATTTAGATCTTGATCGAGTCAAATAGACGGAAATGAATATCGTGTGTATTGTTCATTTATTACTTCTTTTGTATTTACATGGAGAATTAAAAACATAATTTTCAAATGCTCAGAGCATCTGACCATGTATTTGACATACTTTATATGTATTCATCTCTTGTATGATCAATCATGTAGAAATCAAAAGGTAGATTCATTCGATTTGATTCATATTATCAACGAATGAAAAGTTGATAAGATTCATTTAATTAATCTGTCTATGTCCTTTCAATCCATTATTTATCATTAGTTTCTTCAGTTAAACAAGATATGTAAATGGCTTAATGACAAAAACCCTTTTCATCTAACAGGTAGTTTCTTTATTCTCTAATAAATCATTATTCTTCATTTAAATTACTTAAAATATTCGAATAATCTCACCGTTACTTTTATACAATTATCACATCGTTTTCTTCTCCACTCACCACTACAAGCTTATCTTGTACAATGTTCAATTTTTGAATCGAATACTTGGCAAAGCTTTGAATACTTACAATGCTTCATTTTCTCGTTGAATCAAAGGAGAGCGTTTATCCCGTGTACGCACAAAATTTGAACAAGTACTTCGTCATCAACGTTTCCTTCTTAGGTGATACATCATCAACATCAGACATCACAGTAACTTCAATAAAAATAAGCCAATATTTGAACAAAACTTTAGTCGTGATTATTCATTCATATTGTGTTCTTTGAAACGCGTTTATACAAGCAACCAAAAACATACAAGAGTAAATGTATATGGACAAAATCTTCCTACTCAAACTTCAACCATTGTGTCAAACTATTTCAATAAGAAAAAAGAAATCTTCCTATCCTTTCACGCAAAATATACGCACAGAGTTCTAATTCAAACTATTCCAACATCTCGTATTCTCATCTCTTCGCATTATTAAGAACTATACATTCCGAGCTGAGATGATACTACCATATATCTCTGCAACATGTTGAAGATCAACGAAAAATACATAAACTATAATGACTTATAGAAATAACAGCTTCATGTACTTACAGATACATAAGAATTGAACAAATTCTGATCAGAAATATTCATTTGAGATGTGACAGTGAATCGATATTCAAAGCAAATTGATGTTTCGACAAAGAAACACAATTTATGAATTCAAATTTGTTGAGAAATATTCATTTGAGATGTGACAGTGAATCGATATTCAAAGCAAATCGATGTTTCGAGAAAGAAACACAATTTATGAATTCAAATTTGGTGAGAAATATTCATTTGAGATGTGACAGTGAATCGATATTCAAAGCAAATCGATGTTTCGAGAAAGAAACACAATTTATGAATTCAAATTTGGTGAGAAATATTCATTTGAGATGTGACAGTGAATCGATATTCAAAGCAAATCGATGTTTCCACAAAGAAACACAATTTATGAATTCAAATTTTTTGAGAAATATTCATTTGAGATGTGACAGTGAATCGATATTCAAAGCAAATCGATGTTTCCACAAAGAAACACAATTTATGAATTCAAATTTGCTGAGAAATATTCATTTGAGATGTGACAGTGAATCGATATTCAAAGCAAATCGATGTTTCGAGAAAGAAACACAATTTATGAATTCAAATTTTATGAGAAATATTCATTTGAGATGTGACAGTGAATCGATATTCAAAGCAAATAGATGTTTCGACAAAGAAACACAATTTATGAATTCAAATTTGGTGAGAAATATTCATTTGAGATGTGACAGTGAATCGATATTCAAAGCAAATCGATGTTTCGACAAAGAAACACAATTTATGAGGAAAAAGATCTTTGCAAGTGCCCTAGAGAAAACTAAGATGTTGAGAAACTCATTTTATTTTATTCTTTGAGTGAGATTTTCTTCATAAATAAACTGATGAAATAGAAAGATTGATGGTGCGTTTGGTAAATGGTCGCTAGGCTTGGCCTTTACTGTGTTGCAAATAGACACGTGAATGTGTGAGGATGATGAAAGTTGAGCAAGTAGCGATCGGATTCATGTATTTTGTCAGGCTAACGGATGAGTTAAGTATATCATGAGAGTCGATTTTGAAGAGAGATAGTCGGTGCGATTTCGAAGAAGAAACTGAGTTAAGCTTATTAGTTTTTGTTAACAATAAAAATGAAATGTGTGAATAGAATTGGCATACACAAAGGAAGTGACTTTGATGTATAGTCAAAAGTGGTTGATGTATCAGATAGTATCTTGAAAGGAACAGAATAATAAATAAAAGTTGTCGTGTGGCATCGAAGATATATTTTACTACGAGAAATATTGTCGAACTAATGTGTATAAGAAATGAAGCATAAGTATCTACAATAATTGCCAGTAAAAAGAATTCATGTGTCTACGACTTTTTCAATGTTTTTTGGGGTATTTCGGTTGCAGATTGTATAGGTCTTGATTGAGTTGCTGCAGATACAATCGATGCTGGATTGACAGATGTCCAAACAGTTGGGTGAAGAAGTGTTGCCGTTGTTGCATGTGGATGAAATAACGTACCAAACTGAGTTGTTGTTGTCGTTGTTGTTCCAGTTGCTGATTCAAATATTGGATTGAGACGAGGCGCATTCAAATTTAAATGGTGAAATGATGGCTGACGACTAAATGACGACACGTCGGCCAATGAATTTTCCTGTTTATCTTTTGTCTTGACAAGCCAACGTCGTCGTAATGATGGAACGAGAAATAAAATAACAAAGATAGTAAATGTAACCAAAAGAACAATACAAAAGGCAGCGACAATCGTATTTGTTAATATAAGACTTTCAAACGTTTGTTGATTAATCATTTTAAAATCGAGTAATGAGACGATTTTAATAGAACTTGACTTCTTTTCGATATAAAGAAGAAAAAGAATACCGATCATTGTCGTCTGCTTCTTGTTCGAAAGATTATCAACATTGTTATTCGAAGGATAGAATGTCGACGATTGAAATAGCAACTGTGTATACCAAACGGCTGAAGAATGTAAGAGTTAAACAAGGTCTAGTCGAAAAGTTAAAATACATTTCAAGAAGTTCTAACGGAAATCAAGTTAAATCTGATCTTCCTACTTATAACTCAACTCACGTGCTTCAAACCGCCAGTCAGCCGTATTTTCTAACTGTTAACTGAACAAATATTTTAAAAATCTTTGAAAGATTATCAGATCCCGTTGTCGAAACTATACGCTTCATTCCACTGGAAACGCGTTGAAGCCACTGTTATTGGCCACGTCGTCTAATTTGGGATATTTTCGTTAAATTTTTCGACTTATTAGAAATTAATTTTTCGAGGAAAATCGGTATCTTTATAAATTTTTCTAAGAAAATGCTTTAAGAATCAGGAAAAATGAACATACACAACGACAAGTCGATTTGAATCGACGATTTTTCAAGCACTTCTCGGTAATCTGTGTAGTTCCAGTAGAAAAACAGTAATATGAAAAACAAATCATTTTAATTTCCGCTTGTTCATTCTATCATATTCGAAAGACTTGATTTTTTCTTTGCTTCATTTTTTAAATAACCTTCTTATCGACAGGCTGTCATGAACATTTTCAACACTAATGAAGTTCCATTACGATCTTATATACAATCCCGTATAACTGATTTGGAAAACGCACTTGAAGAAGAAGTACGAAATCGTGATAAGGTTGATATTGCACTTCTTGAACAACAATTTGATCGTGAATCGGAAAATTTGATTCTTGGCATAACAAGACAAGTTCACCAAGTTCGAGATGAAATTAAAACTTATCGGCCAACAAATATTAATGAACCCGATTACGAACAACGAATGATTCAATATCGACAATTTCTTCAAAGTTCATCAATAAGTCTCAATCGAATGACGAATTCCATTGATGCGATATTCGAAAAAATCAAATCAATTATTAAAAACGTCATCCGATGGATAGCAGACAACGCACAAACGATCGTTCAGATTTTAGAGCAAATTTGTCATGCATTCAAATTTATCGAATCATTTTTCATTCATTGATTCAAATTTAGAAAAAGTACTCACTTTTTTTGCTTACTGTTGTAGAAAGCTAAGAGAATGTCTAATAAACAGATTCAACATTAATTTCCGTCGATAAGATTTTTTAATTTGAAAATAATTCAATTAACGGAGCAATTTTTATACAACACGCTCGTAGAAATTAATAATAAACAGATTGAAATTCAAAAGTACAATTCACTGATCAATGTGTTTGGCCACACTTTTCCTGATTTTTGTTTTCCTCTAAGCAAATTTTAGCCAACTTGTAAGAGAATGAAAAAGTAAAACCATATAGCACACGTTGACGATCTTGTCTGATTCTTTTCCCCGCAATACTTCATTGATCCTTTCGTTTGTACCAAAACGATTTTCTCCTCGATTGCCATTGTATCACAATACTTTGAATAAGCCGTTTAGTTTACTTTATATTGCAAAAGAAAAGAACAATTGATAGATGTATGTACGAACTAATTAATTACGACGAGATGATACTTCAGTGTAAATGAATCAGTGAAGGTCATACACCAGTATTTACATATGTGTATTCAGCACAGAAATCGTGTAAAGGGATAATCTGCTGATGGATATGATTAACAAAAATCGGGGAGAAATGAGAGAAGATCATCGATTAGTGCAAGTTTTCCGAAATAGATTTACTAATGTATTACTTGATAAAACTTCAACACTGAATTCAGATCGAGTCCAACTGATTTCAATCATAGTATTGTCATCCACTATCCACATCCATACTGCGTATTTCTTTTAATCACATGTATTGATAGTACGATAATGACATTTATAAGACTACTAAAGAAGGAGAACAGTGCTGTTCAGAAAGGACGTCTTACTTTTCCACATAGAGAACAACATAAAGATGAGTGGTGTATCTATCTATCTGTGCAGATTTCATTGATGGTTCCACGAATCACATCGAAAAGAAAGCTCTTCTCGCTTATGAACTTAGGAGAGACATTTTTCGCTGAAGTAACTCAACAAATATCGTTGCCTATAAGCTCCACATGGATGTCAAAAGACTGGTAGTTGTAGAATCTTATGAATCGTATCGAATTTTCTTTTTGATAGTCTATATAAATATTACTTTATCATTTATTGTGTAAACTTCATGTCCCTAAACAAGTTCTTTCAACTAAAAGTGTATTGCTTTTTTAATATGTCCACGCAAAACTGTCAAATTTCGAACAGATTTCGTTGGACTACTCAAAATACACTACCAAGTAAAATTTAATCGTTTTGGATAAGAAGCGGCTAATAGCTATTAAGAAATTTTCATCACGCTGTTCTCTTAAAAGATGCGCTATGAAGATCGCAGTATTTTCGCCTTTTCCCAAATATTGTATCTATTTTTCATTTATTCCTCATTTTTCACATGTATTCTTGAAGTTGTGAGGGTGAAATGGACACAAAAGGCATCGATAAATTTATCGCACGAACAGAGTGTAAAAGCAAGCACTACTTTTATTCGAAATAGTTTTTTTATTTTGAGTTTATCGCGCACTTTTGATAATATTTTCCACGTAACAGCTCGTAATGCAAGAGAGATCTGTCGCGTATCGGTAAGGTAAGTGGGCTTTGTGTGAAAGCACATATACATAGAAGATGCGGCTCAGATTCAATCAACGCCGAAGACCAACACGGTTTTTATGCAAATCACAAAAGATCTTCTGAACTCAGGAAAATTTCTTATTGATCGTCTCAAGCTTTGGAAGAGAATTATAGCCGTCCCTCAACATAATTCAAAAGAGTATCTTAGATTGAGACTGTTGTGAAAGTAAACGCCAGTGATTTCTGTCGCTTATATGAAAGGAGCGGTTGCAGCATAACTAGTTCTAAATACTGATGCCCTATTCGATACTTTATTTTCATAAGATAATATAGATGGATATAACACTTGATTTTCTTGAGAGATGGGATGGTACACAAAAGACGAATATACTTACGAATTTCACTATGTATTTTGCAGTGTCGAATCGTCGTCAATATACTGCTAAAAGAGAAATGACGCCTTTATATTTTTGGAAAAGAGTGCGAATGACAGATCATATTGAGTCAAGCGAAATTTAGAGTTGATATTCATTATGATTTTGAGTATATTTCGAAGTTTATCGATTCTAAGTCGGTAGGCATGATTTATACTAACAAGTTCCGATGCGGTTTCTGTCAGAAAATCTTTTAGATCTATTCTAATTCTAACTTAATAGAGACAATTTAGATCTCACTGTGCGTAATAATACCGATTTTAATATATCAAACCCCCTATTCTTCATCTTTCAGTTTTTACTACTGACTGCACGTATAGAAACCCATACTTTTATGCAGAACATCCGATCTATTCAATAGAAAGTTCAAAGTAATATGAATTATTTCTAATTTCACAAAATTGAAACCTTGCACAACCGATCGTTATTATGAGTGTAGAAAGAAGAAGATCTGATTCACTTGATGACGACATTCAAGCTTTTACACAGTGCCGATGACGTCAAAGAAATCGCTCTTATAAATAATTAATGCGTACACATATAACAGAAAAGAAAAAACGCGAAATTTTTTTTTTCAGCTGAAAACAATGCATTACTCTGATCAGCGATCAATTCTTCCAGTAATTATCCAAAATCCATTATTGCCAACAAGATATTCTAGTTTTCATCAAATTAATTATGAAATTCATTCCGGTTTTACTTTGGATGAAGAAACTTTCATTCAAAAAGCATTGGCAATCATTGATAATCGATTATTGGACGAGAAAATCTTACAAAATATGTATCAAATTTGTGGTACATCCGGTTGTCTATTTGCACCTGGTGTTTGGTCACGTTCGAAACTAGCAAAGAATAAAGAATATAGCGGTATACATGATTTATTACGTTTTCAACTAATGTGTTTGAAACTTGAAATTGAAGAAAATCGATTTCCTGTAATACACCTTTATCCAACTTATGAGAAATCTGATACACAAGCAGAAGGCAAGCTTGGCTGTATTTCATGTATTTCTCATGGATCAAAATTTTCAATCGAAGGAGCATTCCATATAAAATTAAATCAACATAATTTGGATACAACAAATGAACAAATTGGAAACAGTATTTATTGGGCAGGAACAATTGTGCATGAAATGTTGCATAATTTAGGTCATAAACATCAAATCAATGATTATACTGATCAATGGCAAATAAACGTCTTTGAAAAATGCTTTTTATATAATGGAAACTATGTATCATGACTAAATAAAATCTTCAATTCCGTTTCATACGAAGTCGATACAATCGAAATCGTTTTGATTTTTAAATTTTATCACATGAATTAATCAGTAAATCGACAAAAGACAACAAACAAAAAGCAGCTAGAAATTGATGTATCACATCGATGTCCTTACTCGTCTAGTGTCTCACAAGTTGCGATGTGGAGGAAAACATGAACATGTTTGTTTCATTTTTAAACGACTCTTACAACTCTTGTTCCGTACGAATTAATGAGAAACTGAAACAACAGTGTGAATATCGATTTTTGTCAAATCGAGCGATTATCGGTATCATGTGTATCAGATAAACTAACTGTTACACAATTCCAGACTGTTATCAGCCACAAGAGGGAGAATGAGCAATCAGATTGTATCATTGACCATCTATAAGTGGATGAAAGATAAAATTAGAAAACAAAAGAAGAGATAAGAGTCAATGGGTGTATATAAAGTTCATTTTATCTTCACCTTCTGTTGATACGCATAGAAAACAAAATGCCCGACGCTACTCATGGCATGTCAAAGACATACAATTCCAGTTCTGCTCCCCAAAAAGCTGCTGTTCAATCGTCATTTGACATCATCGAAGAAGGCATCAATGCATTAGATATTTCTTCTGTCAGTATCATTGCTGATTACGGTTCATCTCAGGGAGCAAATTCTATTCAAGCAATCAACAAAATCATCGATTATCTTCGACAAACAAATAAATGTAGTAAATCTCCACTCGTTATACACAACGATCTTCCAACCAATGATTGGACGTCACTTTTCGAACTTGTCAATGAAAACAAATCCTATTACAGCGTTGCGAGTGGTCGATCCTTCTATGAACAATGTTTACCGTCAAATTCTGTTCATATCGGCTATTCATCAACGTCAATTCATTGGTTATCAAAAAAGCCATGTAATATTATGAATAACTGTTTTGCAACTCGAAATAGAAAAGAATACGAGGCATATCGACAACAAGCACACATTGATTATTCCAATTTTCTCAAACATCGATCTAATGAATTAGTTTCAGGCGGTGTTCTCATTCTGGCTATTGTGTGTACGAAAAATGCAGATAAAACGGATTTTGAATGTTTATGTGATTGTCTTTACGAATGTGCTCAAGCGTTGCCCATGAAAGAAGATGAACTAATTGAGTTTACTGTTCCAATGCTATTTCGATCATATGAAGATTGCGTCGACGAAAACCTTTTCAATCAACATTCTTTTCAGTTGATTAAATCGAAGATGCTGACAATTAAATACCCAATTTATAAACAATGGAAAGAAAATGAAATTACACTGGATAAATTTGCTCGTTCAACGGCATCGTTTGTTCGTGGCTGGTGTGAACCAATGCTTGAAGAAATACTTGTCAATACTGGTCGAATACAAAATGAAATTCCTGATTTGTTAAATCGATTTTGGAATTTATTCGAGGAGAAGGTTCGACAACAACCACACGTTGTACACACTTTTTCAGATTATACATATGTAGTTCTGAAAAAAATGTGAAAACATTTAAATAATCAAGAGTAGCATTTTGAATAAAAAGACAAATTGAATGTTCACGATCTGTTGTTGACATTATAAAGAAGAAAAGTTGTATGTTAATTAACATTTTGAGATGTACACATACACATTGCGTTCTATGGTTTATCAGCTCGCTGCACGTGATATTTGTTGATGAGCATGAATACTGAGAAGAGCATCGAAGATAACTTAGACTGGTAGAATAAAAGATAGCGAATAATTTGATTTTCTTTGATTTTATGTATGGATATGAGAGAAAAACACAATAATTGTTTGTGTTTCAAGTGTTCTATGGGTTTGCTCGTTTTTTTTCTTTGACAAAAGATGACTGTAAACTTTACAGGTAAATGTACTTGTTGAAGTAAACATATATGTAAAGACTCCCGCGACATTGGAATAAAAGTCACGTAAGCCATCTTGTTTTATTATTCATCCATAGTTTCAATCAGCGCGCGATATCAAATAGAAGTATCCAGTCCTTTCGACAAAAATCTCATAATATATGGTACTTCAAATGGGAAAGACCATACCATCAAAATATATCTTAACTAAAGTGATTCCATGCGTAGGAAGTTACCAAGCCTCTGCGCTGAAAGAATCGAAAGACTTGAAACATGACACAAGTAGCTCTTGTGATTGATTAAAATTCAGTTGTTTTTGTTGAGTATAGTGTTTGTCATCTCTGTTGAAATAGAAAAGAATCTCTTCGAAGTATTGATTTTCTTTGTTTTAATTTGCAAATAATATCTTAAAAGAAATGATGAAATGTATAGTAGATTATTAAAAATTCATTTTTCCAATTCGTATACATATATTCATGTCAGTCCTGTTCGACAGACTTTATTTTATTCACCACGTCCATGAATAGTTTCTAGTTTCACTTCTATTTCAGATCTAGTGAGAATAAACGATGCCACGCGTTGTTACGGCAAGAATCCGACCTACATCAGAGAGACCTTATGTAAGACCGAATTTATCAGCGCAAAATACTTCACTTGTTAATGTAAGAATTTCATGTTAGTCAATTGTCCTTTTCAACTATGTGTATGTTTAGTCATCGATCTTGTCTGCAAGAAGCAAAAGACGAGAAAAAAGTCGCGAAGACGCGCTCAACGCATCGCACCTTTCAATAAAATCTCTGGAACATGTCTCGGTCATTGTTAGTGAAAGTAACTATGTTCCACCGTCATTACCATCACCTCAAGTGCGATAGAAGAATAATCTTTATGAAGAAAGTCTTGCTTTTTTTTCTCATTAAAGCAGTCATTACCACCTTCACCGACGATTCAAATACCACCAAGTGAAATTTTACATCATGCAGCAAAGTAGAGCAAATTTTTCATACATTTCTTTGTTTGAACGATTGTTTGTTTTTTAATAGATCAAAAACTATCAGGAAAAACAATAATAAAAGGCTTATTTTGAGAATCGCTTTTGTCATATTCATTGTCACGGGTGTCTTAGCAGCAATTGCTGGTACTCTTATTGGAACCTTGTATAAACCAATTATAACAAGTGTGTCATTTCATTCTTTTCCTTCTTAAAGACAAACGTTTTCAGGTCAACTTTGCTTTGAATGATAAACAAAGAAAATCTGTCAGAACGACTGTACTATTTCATTTCAGACACGATGATCTATTTTGTCATATATATATGTACTTAAAGTTTTGACTAGGAATGTTCTCACTAATGAAGTCGTACAAATATCGAATTGTCAACAGGATTTTCATACGAATTCATTATGATATTTGTACAAGGTGAAACCTTATTTACAATGAGTTGCCCTATCCTTCTTGTGAACAATGATAGCCTTGAATTTCTTCTGCGTTTTTTTTAGCAACAACGACAACATCAACAAGCACCACGAGCAGTGAGTTTTTCATATTGTTGTTAAAGCTCTAAAAGCAAATCTCTTTTTTAGCAACTTCAACTACCAGTAAATTCAATTGAATTCTTCTCTGATAGATTTATCTTTTCCTATATATATTTTAGCCACTAAAACAAGTGAGTTTCGATCTGAGTTCATCGACTTGTGTCACCTGAAGAAAGTAATCAACTGAAATCTATCTGTTCTCATTACATTTTATTAGCTACTACATCGACAAGTGAGCTTCTTGTTTAATTCTAATGTCTGGAGAAATCGATTTTTCACTGTTTATAGCTTCGACAACCTCAACATCAACTTGTAAACGCGATGATATTTCTCATTGAAAACACAATTGAAATTATTGTTTTACTTCTAGCAACGTCGACAAGTTCTACAAGTTCAACTTCAACCACAACTACAGAAACGACAAGTAGATATTCATCCATCTTGACCTACCAAAACCTTTTTCATTCTAGCAACTGAAACGACAAGCACAAGTGAAACAACGACAACAACTACTACTACTGAATCAACAACGGCATGTAGAAATACTTTATTTCTTATTCATTTCCATTAAGATAAAAATCTTTTAGCGTGTTATTTCGGCGGCGATTATGTTCATTTACTCGATGGAGGACTACGTCAAATCAGTAGTTTAAAAGTAGGAGATCGAGTTTGGGCATTGAGTCAAGATGGGCAATATTTGATTGATGATATCATCATGGTCATACCACATGGTGCACCCCAAACTCTAAGTGTGTACATACGCTCATGCTTAACTTTCGGAAAATTTGTTTTTTGAATTTAGCTGAATTTTATACGTTTACGACAGTTGAAAACCAAACAATTAGTTTGACGGATACTCATTTTCTCGTCATATTTGACAGTCAAGATAAACAAATGAAAACCATCAGTGCTTCTCGTGTGACGCTTAACCATCGATTAGTGATGATAAATCGTACGATAAGTTTGAAACAAATTGAAATTGTACAACGAATAGGATTTTATTCACCAATTACAATCAGTGGATACTTACTTGTAAATAATCTTTCAACATCTGTCTATAGTGACTTGTAAACTGAAATTAATTTTACTTACTAAATCTCAACTGTGTTTTGTTTTAGTTTTCATGCTTCACATGATTTTCATCATAATTTAGCTGGTCCAGCTCGTGCGTATTACAATCTCACCAGATGGTTATTCGGCAATGATTTTCATCCATTTGGAACGAGTATATCAGAAGAGCTGCATCCCATATCAAAACTAGTGATTGTAGTTCACGATTTCGTTCAATATGTGTATTCTTATCTTCTCATACCTTTGTGTGTTATCGCTTTCTTTTATTTAACTCAACGAAAATCTAAATAAAATGTTCTATCGAGCTTTTGTGCTGGCTTTTACGTTACGATCTCTTTCATAAGTAAACCATATGTGCGAATATTTTCAGGCTTTTCCACTACCCAAATATTGTCATCAGTCGTAAAACAAACACCCTCAGGATTGACAGCAACATGTAGCATAACCTTATAAGATTTCTTTCCGTGTTCGGTGTTGATTTGAGTGATACCTGCGTATGTGTTATCTATAAAAAGTGGATTTGGCGAACAATACACACCTGGTCCATATGCAGCCGTTCTTGCTACTTTGAATCCTTCCCTGAAAATACTAAAAGCAGCATCAAGGCATACAGTTTTCGGATCGACTCGAAAGTCAGAAGTTGAAAAATCTTCAGCCTTTGCGTTCTTGGTTCCATGGTATGCTCTATACCAATTCTTTGGACTTCCAAATGGATGTAACCATTCATCGTTTGTATATCTACTCAGCACTTTCCATCCTTTTCTATTCCATCCGGTTGGTTGAATATACTCTTTAGTTCTACCAGGTGGACCAATCTGATATTTTCCCTTTTCTCCCTCGAAATTTTTATGACCACGTTCGTCAAAACAGGCGACATCAAACGTAGGTCGTTTCATTAACGGATGCATTTTCATTGATACACGCTGTTGAAATTGCGACTGAACGCTTTTTGGTAGTTCACTCAATTCTTTCATCGTAATTCCTTTTGAATTTTCTACGGTATAAACGATATTGATCGATCCGACATACACGTTCTTCAAAACAATATTCTTCTTGTCAGTGTTGTGTGCTGTTGCTAATCGTTCGACAATTTGTTCAAGAACTGGATGTGGTTCATTGCTTCGAACTGCTCTATCCAAGGTGTTGACAATTGTTAAGTCGTCTCGTTGACTTTCTACGTCTTCAAATTCACGAATGTCTTTCAACTTCAAAACAAACGGTGTATAATCGAAACTTAAATCTGTTAAATTTCCGAAACTATTATAAAGATTAACACCTTGTCTCGAATCGAAGAATAAACATTCTTGGTTTTCATTTTGAAATAATTGATGAACTATATGACACACTGTCTCCATTTGATTGAGATCACCGGAAGGAGCTTTAGATAAAATATGTTTGGTAAATTCTTCTGCCCTTTTCACGTCTTCATTTTCTGGATTGGTTATCTCTTCAACATTTGGTAAACTATCGCAAGAAGCTTTCGATTCTGATTGCTCTTTCAAAAACGATTCTTTCTCTTCGGGTTTGATTTCAACCCAGATAGGCACTAAAGAAGAAGAACGTGAGAATTGTATTAATGATTAGCGAATACATTACCTGGAGCAGATGGAGGTGTCACATAGTTAAGAAATATCGGAGGATCTTGTTTTAGTCCATTGATGGATAATGGTCGTTGTTTTTGATGAGTTTCATCATAAACATCGTGGACTATCCGCCGAAAAATATCCACAACTTGAACATTTTCTTCAGTAATATTCTTCAGTAAATGTTTAGTAAATAGATTATTCGACGCTACTTGATTTTTATCACAAGAAAACTGAATAAAGGCTCCTTCTGTTCTTCCAATCTCCGCCAAACCTTGATTATTTATCACGGCTGAATAAAGTACAAAGATAATCTACTGAAAACTCTTCAGTTTCCATACTTACAACCTCCTGCATATGGTCTACAACAATCGAAGATAAATATATTTGCATATGACGGATTTCGTTCCACTATGCGTCTTAACATTCGATCAACATTGATTCCAAAGGCAATAACGTCTCTCTCCGTTTGAATCCAAGTATCATTGACAGGTATGAGATAATTTGCACCATTGACTTGACAGGCATGTCCAGAGAAATACAAGAAAACTAGATCGCCATTGTTGATCGTCTGTGCAAAATTAATAATCAGTTCAATCAAATCATATTTCTCCACATCAGATTCTCTTGTCACGTGAAAACCAATCTTTGTAAGCAAATCACTCAGTCTGTTGACATTCTCGATCGATTGATCAAGTTCATTGGCTAATCGATGGTAACCACTATTACCGATAAGTAAAGCTGTTTTTCGATGATCTAGTGTAACCATGAGCTATTTCGATCTGGAAAATAATCAATGATTAATATCTATGTTCTTTGTTCAAAGAATTATTTTTGTAGTTACTTGGACTTTTTTATGAGTTTCTTACCAGTGAGTTGGAGAAACGAAAACTGATATATATTTATGTATTTTGCCTTTCTCTATCTTATCAAAAAGCAAATACATAAAAGAAATTTATGACATCAAAACTGTAGTGATCATTTTCGGCGACTCAAAAGATAAATACTTCTGTTGGAAAAAATCGACTTTTAAGATTTATAGGCAAAATATGGCCAATAAACTCCGTCGAAAAGTGGCATTAATTATTGGGAATGGTGATTACACGCGATCAGACAACAAACTGACCCATTGCACAAAGAATGCTACCGATTTGAGTGACTTATTACAAAAAATCGGTTTTGATATCAATGAAATACATACAAACATCAAGCGAGATAACGAAATGAATGTCATCTTTCGAAAATTTGCCAACACGATTGAAGATGATGATATCATTTTATTTTATTTCTTCGGTCACGGATATCAGATTGATCATGTCAATTACTTGATACCCATCGGAGACAAATACATCGAAAATGAGAGTGATATTGCAGATTTTGGTGTCAATGCTGAACATGCATTGGAATTATTACTCGAAAAGAAGAAATCATACGCGATGATATTCATTCTCGATTGTCCAACATCATATTCTTTCAAAGGCAAATCAGAATCTGGCAGTACGATCAAAGGAATTAATGTCGATTCATCTCTTGGACCATCGATACAATTGATTTGTACTGATAACGAAAGAAGATCTTCGAATAATATATTCAGTAGACATCTGTTGGCTAATCTTGCCGCAGAAAATGTGACAATCACCGACATTTTTAAACATGTCGAAGAGCTCGTTTCTCGAGAAAGCGATAGAAAATTATGTCCGTTGATTATCAATCGATTACAACAACATCAAGAAGTATACCTCAATGAAATTCTGAATTGTATGAGAGAGATGTAAGAATTTTCCATTCAGAAATACTTTCTTTTGCTATTTTAGTTATACCAGACATTCCTTCGAATGCTCGATGGAAATCCAAAGGTATTACAATTGTTGGTGGAATAATAAATGGCGTTAACGGTCCACAGGGAATTACTGTCACAGATAATCAAACAATTTTCGTTACTGACACTAATCATAATCGCATTATGAAATACACAGAAGACGGAAGTAAAGCGCGACAAATTATCAGTAGAAAAACGGATGGAAAACATGAACGTGAACAATTGCATCGACCATCGACAGTTATTCAAGATGCAAAATCAAAAAAATTGATAATTTGTGATCGTGGACATTATCGAATTGTTCGATGGAATCCAAAGACGAGCAGATTTTCTCAAATAATCCAAGAGAATATGGCATGTTTCGGTGTGGCTATGGACGAAGAAGGTTGTCTTTATGTCTCCGATACAGAAAAACATGAAGTAAGGCGATACGAATCTGGTGATCAGTCCGGAAAAGTTGTTGCGGGCGGCCAAGGGCAAGGTCATCGGCTGTCTCAACTAAATTCTCCGACGTATATTTTCGTTGATGGAAAACAAGCTGTTTACGTCTCAGATCGTTTCAACAATCGTATTGTCAAATGGGAGAAAGATGCAAAGAAAGGGATTATTGTTGCTGGTGGACATGGCAACGGGAAAGATAAACATCAATTATTCCGTCCTGCTGGATTGATCGTTGACCAATCCGGCACGGTTTACGCCGCTGATCATTTGAACCACCGAATTATGCGTTTTCGTCAAGGTGAAACGTATGGTGAAATCATCGCTGGTGATAATTATCTTTCAGGAGATCGGTCAAACGAATTGAATGGTCCTGAAGGGATCGCATTCGATTGTCAAGGCAATCTCTATGTCGTAGACTCTTATAATAATCGCATTCAACGTTTTGATATTCAAACAGACTAAATAGATTTATTCCTAAATAAAATGAATTCATTCGGGAGGAGTAGTACCACCTTCTCCTATGGTTTTATCCATAAGATAAACATCGAGCCACCGATTAAACTTCCACCCACATGACTTGAAAGTGCCCACGTGAGAAAAGCCAGCTGCTCGATGCAGAGCAAGAGATCTTTCATTTTTCGAGTCGCCAATAACCGCGATCAGCTTTCGAATACCTGCCAGCTCAGCTTTTTCGATTAAAGCATTCAATAATTGTCGACCGAGACCTTTTCCACAGGCATCATGATGCAGAAAAATTGACAATTCAGCTGCAAAACGATAAGCTGCGCGTGGCTTAAACCAATTACAGGACGCATAACCCGCAACTAAACCATCTTGTTCAGCAACTAAGTAAGGTAAATGTTTGCTTAGAACATCGATTCGTCGTTTCGTCATTTCTTCAGCTGATGGTGGGTCAATTTCGAATGTGTATGTTGTGTTCAAGACATAATAACTATAGATTTCAGTAATACGATGAATATCTTCATCGCGACTAGACCGAATTGTGATCATGATTAAATAAAGACGAATACAACGTTACAAATGTTATTCTTTCGTTCTTATCAGAGAAAAAAAGCACATGTCATGTGTTATTCGATCGGAAAGGAGTGTTTTACATTGTCGAAGAAGTAAGGTAAAACAATGCGAATAGTAGCTGTCATCGCGCTGCAGAAGCAGCTGGTCTTATGAATGATTGTATTACGATTTACACACGTAACAAAGGCAGCGGGAAAAGTGCGATTGACATGGCGACGAATCTATATTATTCTACCATGAAAAATATTTGGTGATCACTTACCTATTCGGTATTTATTAACTTGTGCGGAAGCGTTCGGGTCTGATCCATACGCATTTGCGCCACACGGTCATTTATACCGATTTGTTCATCGGCATTTCAAGAAAATTTTTGCTCATGTAAAAAAATGATTGCTGATGGTCTCGTTTCTTTTTCGGATTGGATGCTCGGATAATGGGTTCACCGCATCAAACATCAGAGTTTGTATATTTACCATCGTCTCACGCGTGGAAAGTTGCCTTTTCAGGCTATATATAAACTCCGGACAATTGGATGTCCGATTATTTTCAAGATGCACAATGGAATTCCGACTGTGCGTGATTTTATAAATTATTGTCTGGAAAGAATTGAAATCTATTTGAGAGACATGCATTTGCCTTTGGTATGGATACAAATAACTGGTGGACAGAAAATTTTGGAGGGTATCGACCGAGTCATTTCAAAACGTTACACGAAGAAAGATGAACATGAAACCACGGTCAAACGTCTTTACATGGATTTTACTTTGTTCTTTTTTACATAAAATGAATCATTAGGCATCCTAGATAATGCTCTCTTCTTTTGTCGTCTGAATGTGTCTTTATACCGAAAGAAAAACGCGGTGAAACGTGCTCTTCTGCTTTTCCAGTAACAAACATAATAATGTTATTAAATTCGAATACCTCGATCTTTATCACGTCTATGCTGAAATATTGCAAACTGCCATTGGGACAACTAGTTCAATCAGACGCATTACTATTAGCTATGAATGAACCTAGTCCTATGGAATATCTCATAGTTGATCCAGATCTTTCTTTCGGTCAACTGGACGAGTTTTTCTCCTACGTACTTCACTTGAGTCGTGCATCATTAAGTTCACTATATGGATACTCTGCGAATCAGCTGTGTACATCCGTGTTACATCATATAATACATCTGTCTATTGCATTGGAAAGTCAAATAAACTTCGATTATTTGGAACGTGTTTTCATTAATCATTTTCATCCTGTTAAAGTTCTACACATTTCCGTCACGGGGAAAAAATATCTGGCTGTGGGTAGATGGAAAACCCTAATATAAAATTATTTACCGAACCTGGGGGATTCGATATTTGCATTCGAACATATTAGCAATTGACCTGAGACTAATGGATTTACATTTACATTTTGGATTGATCGATAGTGGTACTTCACATACAGATCATATGCGATCAAGCATAGCAGTTGTAAAATTTTCTATTCAACTGTTTCATAGAACGGGATGATATCGGTGATGTAATTCAACATAGATCAGTTTCCGAATCAGTTGGTCATGTAGCGGCGGCGCCAGGAATTCTCACTAGGGTGGGCTCAGACTATTTGAGCCCACCCTAGAGTCTATTTATCGCTGGTTTTCAGGAAAACTCAGGGTGGGCTCAGATACCTTTAGGGTGGGCTGAGCCCACCGTAGCCCACCCCTGGCGCCGCCACTAGCGCTGATAATGCGCAATCCCTATTCTCGGAGCTCGAAAACACATCAATTGTGTTTGTTCAAAGACCATTGACTTTGGTTGAGATAGTGATAAATCTCATCTTCCAAGTAATTTTCAATATGAAGTCTTATTCTATAATTTGCTTCGAAACGAACATCTTTCATAGCGCTGCATGTGTTCAGAATACTGTTTCTACAGTCCACGCGTCTGTAGTTACTAAGATGGAATTCCACTGACGGGTATATCACTTTGTGAACTATTTCTACTAAATTCCCATGAAAAGGCATGATGTATGGAGCAGTCATCCTATTCCGCAATGTTGAACATTTCGGAACCGGTTCCGCACACGGAATCGATTCCTACGATTCCGGAATTCCGTCTTTACACACATTCAATGAATTCCGGAATTCCGTAAACGGAATTCGGTCGCGTATAGGGGAGATGATATGTGAGCGTGTAGAGGGTGGGTGTGATTCCGGAATTGGTAGGAATTGTGTGTATCGATTCCGGAATTGCTTCGGGTTAATTCCGGAATCGTGGGAACTGATTCCGTGTGCGGAACTGATTCCCAAATGTGCAACATTGCGGAATAGGATGTATTCTCGATGTATGTAGCCTACAAAGCAAAGATGATACTAAGCTCATATCACTTTTTCGGATTTCTTGAATTAGAAACATCATTATGTAAAATGCATTAGATCTTTTCGTGTAAGTTCTTGAGCTACCATCTTTGTACACATGACGTCCATGAATACCGTTCAGCTCACCATCTTCCACAAAAGATTTCAGAACAGACAAAGAAAAAGATCTCCTTTGTAGAGAGGAAGGAACAAGCCCAGACTCAGGGAATAAGACGAAATTCGCCCTCAAATTCGAATTTCCCGACGTCAGAAATCCTTCGGTCTACTATGACAATGGTTAATTTTTCATTGATTTATAAAATGCTGCAATTTGATTGGATTACGCAAACAAACAAGCAAGCAAACTTTTTGCATTTCAACCACCCGATTTATGACGCTATAACCCTTTCTTTCAAGAAAGGAAATAAAAGAAAAAAGACTAAATATAACTTTCTAGTGCACATTTGATTTTTCACATAGAAATGACACACAGTTTGACAATCTTTCTCTTGAAGTTATGTATCACATATTGCCGAGCGCCTCGATTCTTTTGAAATCGATAGAAGCTTTTGTAAACTTAACAGTCGCTTGTCTCCATTCCTTGCGACATGAACTCTATCTTCTACAACTTTCCATCATTATCTTCGAACCACAACTCATCCAAATACACGCAAAACACATTTTCTTCGATAATCGAATTCTTTCATGTATATCAATCAAATATTTCAAATATCGTCATTAAAATCTTGTAAAGTATCTTTTGGAAAGAGTTTTTTCAAGAAAATATTAGCACTTGCAACTACTGTATTCAGTTCGATCGAACATTTGACTACCGATCACGAGACATACTTTCGCCAGTTAAATGCATTTTCTCGTATGTAGCTCAACTCCCCCGTTTATAGTTCCATTTCTCATACGAATGTGAGGCGACTACATATGCTTTATCTTTATCAATGTCAAGGTATCTTACACATCTCTCTCTCTCTCAAGTCAGAGAATTGTATAATACTCAATGATATCGAATATCTTCTAGCCAACTATCTTCCAGGTTTACAGGAACTTCTAATTTCCACAGATGTAGCACTAGTTTTTACGCCGTCTACTCAAAAAGATACTGTAACGATAATGATATCGTTCATCTCTTTCTATTCTTTATTCTCTCACCTCTATATCATACTATCTGCGGGTCATATCTCTCTTTCCTCTTCTCTATATAAGCGCGTGTCTTATTGTGAGGAAGATACATTCTGGTCATGTAGAGTAGTCAATAAACATCGATACCGTGAGAAGCGGTCAGCTACTCAACCAGTTTGTCGTTACAGATACTCTTTTGTTTATCAATCCATTTTGACCTGAGAGACAATGGTTTTTCGAGATTCAAACGATTTTATAGTCAAGCAGTTGCCTATACATCAAGTCCATACAAGTAAGTTCTGATGAAAAATTTTCACTTCAATCAAAAACCGAGCTCTCGAATTTTTTCAACAAAAACTTACGATCTCTGTTCGAAGTGAAATAATGTGAATACCACGGTTCTACACAGTCAGTTCAACATATTCAGACTAGAGATGAAATAGTCATGAATCGATGTATGGAATCTTTTCCAAATACTACGAAACTGACTCTCAAAGATGATCTTTCGAAGATGGCTCATGACTCTATTCCAGCGGCTATTAATCGTATTTTACCTTTAGAACAACTACAAACTTCAGTAACGCAACTTCTTAATCTTCCAATCTTGAATTTAATCGAAATCTTATATGTTATGTTGCTCCCTCGTGTTCAACATGTCTTGCAAAACAATGTGGAGTCAGTTTTACAACTTCCCGGTCTCAAAATGAAAAACGGTTCAATTTAGTTTCATATTTATGTTGCTGGTAAGTGTCTCTTAATTTAAAATAAAGACATTCTAAATCAACTCCGGAAGAAATCTTACATTGTCACTGTCATTTCGAGCGCAATATTTTATGCGAATTTTCATAATGCAACGTTCATAGATTTTCATGTCAAAAGAGTCGATCTCTTATTGAAGATATTTTGTGGCATCGAAACTTACTAGAAAGTATTGATCAATTTACATTATAGGAATAGGCATGAGAAGAGATTTGCCTTTTCAATATAAAGATAAAGTCAAATGGAAGTATAATTCAAAATCACTACAATTCATCGCTAGTTGATTCGTATGATGACTCTTATATACTTGAAAGAAATATCAAATTCGGTATGGTATATCCATAATTTAGTCACACTCCTATTAGGATCCTGACGAAGAAGAAAGAAGCAGCAGCCATGGAAAAAGATAATTATGACTTTCGGTAATCATTTCTTGGTTGCACATCATGTTTTCTCTCCAATATCCCGCTGTAAAAACAGAATGAAAAATTCTCATGACGCGATAGATGTCCTTTATGAATGATCCGTTTTGAGTATATCCGTGTCGACGATGCCCGATGGATAGTAGTTGTATTGAACATTATTTCGCATCCTCGAATAGACTCTCTTCAACCTCTTTCTTTCTTTATATGTTTTGTAGAGTTATATTCGTATGAACGAAGTACCATGAATGTCTTTTTTATCATAGCAATTCTCAAAAGAGCAAGCATTACAGATTAATTTATGTTTTGAAAAGCTCGTCGGATACTTTTCTTTACATCTACCACATAAGGATGTGTTGACGAAAGAGATTGTCGATAGATAATCAATGCTTTTCCATAATAATTCAAGGCTTGTTTAAGATCAGTTTGATCTTCGTACACCAATCCAATATTCCTATGTGCACCTCCAAGATGATTATAATCAATAGGGAAACGTTTTTCCCAAATACTCAATACTTTTTTGTATACAAATTCGAAGCTTGAGAATACTTTTCTTGTTTATCGTAAATAACTCCAATGTTATTCAAACACATGGCAATCGACGATTGATCTTCAACATCCACTCGTTGAAAGATTTGTAATGCTTTTGTTTATATGAGTCTAATGCATTCACATAATCTTTCTTCATTTCGTATACATTTCCAATTCGGTTGAAACTGTGAGCAATACTTTTCTCATCTAATTTCGACTTTTTCATTTGAATTTCAAGCTTAAATCATAATCACCTTTTTGCTTCGCTAAACTTCCTAAACCAAAATAACATTCGGACAAATCCTTCTCATCTTGATAATCTTTATTTAAATATTGCTGATAGTACCTTTCAGCATCATCTAATTTACCCATATGATTCAATATATTTGTAAAATCTATCAAATTCTTTCTTTTGTTGTTCGTACGTTGAAGAAGACCTTCCAAGTGATAATTATTCAATGACGATAATCTTATTCGAACAATCCAAAAGTGCTCTTTGTCGTTTTGTTCAATATCAACCAAACGAAAAATTGAGTCAATCATAAACAAGACTTCTCTTTATTCTTCTGGATAATAACTGATTGAACTAATATCTGCGAATGGTTGAATATTTTTCAGTTGTGGATCAGCATCTCATTCGTTTCTACTTCATTGAAAAGAACCTCCTAAAGACTTTTCTAATATTTCAATTTCATCTTTCCACATGAACTGTGAACAGTAAACACGAATCGGCAGTTGACATTGATGAGCCTTAACTCCGAACAATGAATGAAATTTTCTCAATAATCTCCCGTTGTTAATTAAGATGAGTCGATTAGATTTCGATTTTGATTGGATAAAATGTGCACATCGTTGTTCATTTTCAAATACACGACCGTTCTGATTGAACTTTTCAAGTCGCTGTCGTAATTCAACATTTTTCAACACCGTTGAATCCAACCAAATCTAAGAATACTTTGAATTTAGTAAAGCAACAGTCATGATACTAATCTAAACTGACTTTTTATTTTGTTTTTTTTTCTTCTCCTTCTTTCTCGNCGAAAACTACCATGATCGATTCAACTAGATACAATATCAAATACAGTTTTTGATATTTTACTGTGCTAAAGAACATTTACTGAACTCGTGCGCTCTATGGCATCGAAATTACCTTACACGGTGATTCCAATTGCTGATTTCTTTTGAGGGTGTGGGTGCGTTTACCACCTCTGTTGTCTTGCAGAAATTCTTCTAAGTATTGTTCGATTATATATGTACTCCATTTGTTGCAAGTCTTCGCAGTGAGCCCACCGATCGCTTTTAAAAATAAATCAATATCTCGCCAAGGTATCCCGAAATAGACCAATGATAAATAAATTAATACAGATATCGGCCGAATGGAAGTCTCTTCCGATAATGCCTCAAATAAGTTTCCAATATCCAAAACGCTCATTTTGTTCTTTAAACAATTCTTTTCTTTATTATTTTCATTTGAGTCATGCAGATCGGTCGGGATATACGGAACAAAAGCATCATCTAATTCATCAACATTTTTCTTAGCCCAACGACTTTGTATAGTTGGAGTTGATTGAGATCTTCTTTTCGATTTTTGAGGCATAACCAGAAAGAGTGAAGTTACGAGATCCGAAGGATTTTGCGAGGATAGAATGAAAAAAACCTGACAGTGATTTTCTAATTTTTCCTTTAATACTTATTTTCGATCTTGTCATACCGAATACACTTATCGATGGCTACCAAATAGACGTATAGTGAAGTGGAATTTTCCTGCACATATCATTCCAATAGAGGACGCGGCACATTAAGAACTCCAAGCAGAACGAAAATAAATCCAGGGTGTCTGTTCACCTTAAGGATATTTCAATAAGTATTCAAAAGAAATAGTCATTAGAAAGATCTTTACCGTTATAGACGTATAAGTTGCTCAAAAAGAAGAAATTAAAGCGAAAATAGTGCTAAAATCTAAGAAAAAATTCCGATAAGACACGTGGAAAAAACGATGAAATCTTGGGAATGAAAGTGGATTAAGGAAAAAGGATACGTAGATTATATCGGATTGTATATCATTAGGCGACAGCATAGTTTGTCGACAGATTTTTCGTCAACATCACTTAACGTCGAAAGACATTTTTGTCCACAATCAGTTTGCCGACGATCTTTTCGTCGACACTGGATCGATCCCAAGCGATATTGGCTTATCAACATGTTAACAAAAATAAACGAACTCATGATCCAATTTGATTAAGATGAATAATTAATCAAGGATTTGTCTATAATCAAAGTGCATCGATAATAGGATCAAAGTAGCTATTCTTTTCTCGAAAAAAGGACACCGTTTCGATAATCGACTCAGCGATTATTCCGAATTGATATATAACTATCCGCTGAATAGTCAATGTGGCACTCAAACTATCCCATCATTATGAATACTGATTCTGTTGTTCTCACATTCGTTTACTCAACGAAAAGCAAGCGTACAGTCTGCTTTGACGGATACATCTACACGTTAAACAAGGATCGTGGCGCAGTCAAATATTGGCGATGTGAAGATCGTTCCTGCTCCGCGTTTCTTCACACTGATGGGAATAACAAATACAAAGCACATACGGGCACACATGTGGGTCATCTACCTTCGCCCGAAGAAGTGGAACTTATGGCGTTAAGTCGAACGGTCAAGGAACGCGTGGTCAAACAAACAATGCCAATCGCTCGCATCTACGAACAGGAGCTCGACGCAGCACAGCTTAGTCGAACTGGTTTGGCTCTTACCCCCTCAGCGAGAGAGAGGTGTCAGTACTATTCCGATAAATCTCAATCTCGTTCGCATTTCGTTTTCTATAGAGCCGTCTTTACGTTGCTTTTGACGAACAACAACGCCAGTTCTTCCTACGTCAAGTACCTTCGACATTCCAGAACCATACGCTCAAACTCTCGGTGGAAAAAAATTTCTTCTGCACGATATACTCATTGGTGGCCAAAGAACACTAACGTTCGCCAATGATTTACAACTGACAATCTTGTTCAAATCCAACCATATCTTTATCGAAAGCACGTTTCAAGTGTGTCCTCCACTCTTCGTTCAAGTCTCCACAATTCATGGTGTACATCAGAAACATGGTAAGATCTTTTTCTTTTGATCGTATATGTGATTAGGAGTCACTTCGTTTTAGTTGTACCGTGCGTAATCGCCCTTTTACCTGGTCGATCAGCAACTATCTACAAGCGTCTGTTTCAACTACTCGACCAGGAAGCTGCAGATCTTCACATGACATTCGAACCGAAACTCATCACAAGTGACTTTGAATCTGGATTGATCAAAGCTGTAAAACATCATGTATGTCTTTCCTCTCTCATTCTGACGAGACTGTGCAAATGAACAATTCTCACTTTTTCAGTTTCCGATGTCGCGACATGTCGGGTGTTTTTTTCATTTTACCCAAAGCGTGCATCGGAAGATACAGCAACTTGGATTGTCTGTTGAATATAAAAATAATGAAGAAACACGATCCCTCTGTCAACAACTCATGGCACTCGGTCTTCTCCCTCGTGACAAAGTTTTGCCTGCATTCGAACATCTCACCGAAGCCCAACCTGAATCACTTGAAGACTTGTTCGACTATTTTGAAGATTTCTGGATGGAAACAACACTCATTGAGTTATGGAACGTCTCCGATCTGAAAATTAGAACGAATAATAATGCTGAAGATAAATAAGTTCTTCCCTTCACATTCTCTGTCGGCAATTCGCGCTTTACCTAGGGTGGCATAACGGATTCGCTCACCGCATCGATAAGAAACACCCCAATATTTGGCACTTCATCCGCGTTTTGCAAGAAGAAGAAGTTCGTTTCAACCAACACGTATTGCACGTGAAGATGGGAAAGAAGAAACTCTATGACCAACGCTCATGTCGAATTCAAGCATGTCTGGAAACTCTCGCGGATCGGTTCAAGAAGAAAGAAATTGATCTCTTCGACTACCTCGAAGGTCTCTCTCTTTTGATCGCGAAGAAAAAGTAAAAAAGATTCAAAGTATTACTTTTGAATCAAGGCAAAAATTTTGTCTAGTTCGTTGTCTGCACCATATGTTGATAATGTATCTGTGATTTGTGTTAATTAATGAAATAGTTCTTGCTTATAATTTGATGTACTCGATTGAAGAAAGCGTTGTTGCACTAGGCTAAATCTTGTTTCATTCAGGAGATGACATTGTCGTTTTGTCGAAAAGGTTTACACATCCCCTCTTCGTCCACACGTCTGTGTTTCCTCGTAGTTAGATTAGCTGTAGGACTTGATATGAATTACCCAACTCATAATTCAAGCATTGTCGAACGACTTGAATTCATCAAGAAGAGATTCAAATTCGATATTTCGTTGCAAGAATGATTTGAGTTGTAAGTAATGGTCATTTTCCTGAAACTTTCCCGGTTGAGCATCTGTCGACAAAAGTATACGGCGACAAAGCCATCCGTCGACGAAGTCAACTGTCGACAAAGTCATTCGTCGACGAAGCCAACTGTCGACAAAGTATTTGTCGACAAAGTTTCTGTCGACTAAATATCCTGTCGACAAAAAGGTTGTTCGACAAAATTTGTCGACCAAAATTTGTCGACGAAATAAAGTCGACAAAGAACCTGTCGACTAAGTGCTTGTCGACGAAGTTTCGTCGACGAGTGAGATAACTACCGTTTTATTTGAAATAGTTTCTTTATTGTGAGTTTATCGCACACTTTTGTTAATATCTTACACGTAACGGCTCGTAATTCAAGCGTGGTTTGTATATGTAGAGTATCGATAAGGTAAGTGGGTTTTGTCTAAAGACACATATACATAGAAAAGGAGACTTGGATTGAATCAATGCCGAAAACTAACATGGTTTTATGCAAATCACAAAAGATCTTCTGAACTTTTTTTTAGGAAAGTTTCGAATTGATCGTGTCAATCTTTGAAAGGGAATTATAGCCGTCTCTCAACATAATTCAAAAGAGTATCTTAGATTGAGACTGTTGTGAAAGTAAATGCCAGCGATTTCTGTCGATTAGGAAAGGAGCAGTTGCAGCATAACTAGTTCTAAATACTGATGCCCTATTTGATACTTTACTTTTATAAGATAATAAAGATGAATATAACACTTGATTTTCTTGAGAGATAGGGCGGTACACAAAAGACGAATAAGCAGAAGAAGAATATACTTACGAATTTTACTATGTATTTTGCAGTGTCGAATCGTCGTATGTCGTCAATATACTGCTAAAAGAGAAATGACGCCTTTATATTTTTTGAAAAGAATACAAATAACAGATCCTATTGAGTCTAACGAAATTTACAGATGATATTCATTATGATTTTGAGTATATTTTGAAGTTTATCGATTCTAAGTCGGTAGGTATGATTCATACTAACAATTTCCGACGCGGTTTCTGTCAGAAAATCTTCTAGATCTATTCTAATTCTAACTTAATAGAGGCAATTTAGATTTCACTGAGTGCAAAGATACCGATTTTAATATATCAAACCCCCTATTCTTCATCTTTCAGTTTTTACTATTGACTGCATGTAGAGAAACCCACATTTTCCTGCAGAACATTCGATCTATTCAAATAAAATTTCAATAGAAAGTTCAAAGTAATTTGAATTACTTCTAATTTCACAAAATTGAAACCTTGCACAATTGATCGTTATTATGAGTGTAGAAAGAAAACGATCTGATTCACTTGATGACGACATTCAAGCTTTTACACAGTACCGATGACGTCAAAGAAATCGCTCTTATAAATAATTAATGCGTACACATATAACAGAAAACGAAAAAGACGAAAATATTTTTTCAGCTGAAAACAATGCGTCACTCTGATGAGCGATCAATTCTTCCAGTAATCATCCGAAATCCATTATTGCCAACAAGATATTCGAATTTTCATCAAATTAATTATGAAATTCACTCTGGTTTTACTTTGGCTGAAGAAAATTTCATTCAAAAAGCATTGGTTATCATTGATAATCGATTATTGGACGATAAAATCTTACAAAACATGTATCAAATTTGTGGTACGTCGGGTTGTCTATTTGCACCTGGTGTTTGGTCACGTTCAAAACTAGCAAAGAATAAAGAATACAGCGGTGTACATGATTTATTACGTTTTCAACTAATGTGTTTGAAACTTGAAATTGAAGAAAATCGATTTCCTGTAATACACCTTTATCCAACTTATGAGAAATCTGATACACAAGCAGAAGGCAAGCTTGGCTGTATTTCATGTATTTCTCATGGATCAACATTTTCAATCGAAGGAGCATTTCATATAAAATTAAATAAATATAATTTGGATACAACAAATGAACAAATTGGAAACAATATTTATTGGGCTGGAACAATTGTGCACGAAATGTTGCATAATTTAGGTCATAAACATCAAATCAATGATTATACTGATCAATGGCAAATAAACGTTTTTGAAAAATGCTTTTTATATAACGGAAACTATGTATCATGACTAAATAAAATCTTCAATTTCGTTTCATACGAAATCGATACAATCGAAATCGTTTTGATTTAAATTTTATCACAATTAAACAGTAAATCAACAAAAGACAACAAACAAAAAGCAGCTATAAATTGATGTATCACATCGATGTCCTTAATCGTCTCTCTCACAAGTTACGATCTTGAGAAAAACATGAACATGTTTGTTTCATTTTTAAACGATTCTTACAACTCTTGTTCAGTACGAATTAATGAGAAACTGAAACAACAGTGTGAATATCGATTTTTGTCAATCGAGCGATTATCGGTATCATGTGAAATATTTTCTTTTCGAATATATGGAGAATCAATCGCAACATGTGTTATGTCCGAAATTTATCGCCAATGTGTTATCAGACACCAGAGGGAGAATGGGCAATCAGATTGTGTCATTGGCGTCCATAATTGGATGAAAGATAAAATTAGAAAACAAAGGAAGAGATAAGAGTCGATGCATGTATATAAAGTTCATTTTATCTTCACCTTCTGTTCATACGCATAGAAAACTAACTTTATTTTCGAAAAAAAAATGCCCGACGCTACTCATGGCATGTCAAAGACATACAATTCCAGTTCTGCTCCCCAAAAAGCTGCTGTTCAATCGTCATTTGACATCATCGAAGAAGGCATCAATGCACTAGATGTTTCTTCTGTCAGTATCATTGCTGATTACGGTTCATCTCAGGGAGCAAATTCTATTCAAGCAATCAACAAAATCATCGATTATCTTCGGCAAACAAATAAATGTAGTAAATCTCCACTCGTTATACACAATGATCTTCCAACCAATGATTGGACGTCACTTTTCGAACTTGTCAATGAAAACAAATCCTATTACGGTGTTGCGAGTGGTCGATCCTTCTATGAACAATGTTTACCGTCGAATTCTGTTCATATCGGCTATTCATCAACGTCAATTCATTGGTTATCAAAAAAGCCATGTAATATTATGAATAACTGTTTTGCAACTCGAAATAGAAAAGAATATGAGGCATATCGACAACAAGCACAAATTGATTATTCGAATTTTCTCAAACATCGATCTAATGAATTGGTTTCAGGTGGTGTTCTCATTCTGGCTATTGTATGTACGAAAAATGCAGATAAAACGGATTTTGAATGTTTATGTGATTGTCTTTACGAATGCGCTCAATCGTTACCCATGAAAAAAGATGAACTAATTGAGTTTACTGCTCCGATGCTATTTCGATCATATGAAGATTGCGTCGACGAAAAACTTTTCAATCAACATTCTTTTCAGCTGATTAAATCAAAGATGCTGGCAATTAAATACCCAATTTATAAACAATGGAAAGAAAATGAAATTACACTGGACGAATTTGCTCGTTCGACGGCATCGTTTGTTCGTGGCTGGTGTGAACCAATGCTTGAAGAAATACTTGTCAATAATGGTCGAATACAAAGTGAAATTCCTGATTTGTTAAATCGATTTTGGAATTTATTCGAAGAGAAAGTTCGACAACAACCACACGTTGTACACACTTTTTCAGATTATACATATGTAGTTCTGAAAAAAATGTGAAAACATTTAGATAATCAAAAGTAGCATTTTGAATAAAAAGGCAAATAGAATTTTCACGATCTGTTGTTGACATTATAAAGAAGAAAAGTTGTACGTTAATTAACATTTTGAGATATACACATACACATTGCATTCTATGGTTTATCAGCTCGCTACACGTGATATTTGTTGCTGAACATGAATACTGAGAAGAGTATCGAAGATAACTTAGACTGGTAGCATAAAAAATAGCGAATAATTTGATTTTCTTTGATTTGATGTATGGATATGAGAGAAAACACAATAATTGATTATGTTTCAAATGTTCTATGGGTTTGCTCGTTTTTTTGTTTGGCAAAAGATGACTGTAAACTTTACAGGTAAATGTACTTGTTGAAGTTAGGGGTGTCATTTTACTAGGGAACGCAAAAGCGTTCTTTATGCGTTCCTTGATGTTTTTTAGCAGTTCTTCGGCAGTTCCCCAGAGACAATTTAATGTATTTTATTTAAACGCACAAAAAAGTCTCTGGGGAACTGCCGAAGAACTGCTAAAAAACATCAAGGAACGCATAAAGAACGCTTTTGCGTTTCCTAGTAAAATGACACCCCTAGTTGAAGTAAACACATATATGAAGACTCCCGCGACATTGGAATAAAAGTCACGTAAACTATCTTGTTTTATTATTCATCCATAGTTTCAATCGGCGCGCGATATCAAATAGAAGTATCCAACCCTTTCGATAAGAATCTCCTAATATATGGTACTTCGAATGGGAAAGACCATACCATCAAAATATATCTTAACTAAAAGTGATTCCATGCGTAGGAAGTTACCAAGCCTCTGCGCTGAAAGAATCAAAAGACTTGAAACATAACACAAGTAGCTCTCGTGATTGATTAGAATTCAGTTGGTTTTGTTGAATAGTGTTTGTCATCTCTGATGAAATAGAAAAGAATCTCTTCAAGGCATTGATTCTCTTTGTTTTAATTTGCAAAGAATATCTTTGAAAAAAAATGATGAAATGCATAGTAGATTAATAAAAATTCATTTTTCCAATTCGTATACATATATTCATGCAAGTCCTGTTCAACAGACTTTATTTTATTCAACACGCCCATGAATAGTTTCTAGTTTCACTTCTATTTCAGATCAAGTGAGAATAAACGATGCCACGCGTTGTTAAGGCAAGAATCCGACCTTCATCCGAGAAACCGTATATAAGACCAAATTTATCAGCGCAAAATACTTCACTTGTTAATATAAGAATTTCATGCTAGTCAATCGTCCTTTGCAACTATGTGTATGTTTAGTCATCGACCTTGTCTGCAACAAGCAAAATACGAGACAAAAGTCCCAACGCATCGTACCTTTCAACAAAATCTCTGAAACATATCTCGGTTACTGTTAGTGAAAGTAACTATGTTTCACTGTCATTACCATCACATCAAGTGGGATAGAAGAATAATCTTTTTGAAGAAAGCCTTGTTTTTTTTTCTTATTAAAGCAGCCATTACCACCTTCACCGACGATTCAAATACCACAAAGTGAAATTTTACATCGTGCTGCAAAGTAGAGCAATGTTTCGTACATTTCTTTGTTTAAATGGTTTTTAATAGATCAAAAACTACCAGAAAAAACAATAATAAAAGGCGTATTTTGAAAATCGCTTTTATCATATTCATTGCCATCGTTGTCTTAGCAGCAATTGCGGGTACTCTTATTGGAACTTTGTATAAACCAATTATAACAAGTGCGTCATTTCATTCTTTTCCTTCTAAAGACAAACATTTTCAGGTCAATTTTGTTTTGAACAATAAACAGAAAATCTGTCAGAACGACTGTACTATTTCATTTCAGGCACGATGATCTATCATGTCATATATATGTACTTAAAGTTTTGACTAGGGATGTTTTCATTAATGAAGTCGTACAACTATCGAATTGTCAACAGGATTTTCATACGAATTTATTATGATACTTGTACAAGATGAAACCATATTTACAATGAATTACTCTCCTTCTTGTGAACAATGATAACCTTGAATTTCGATTTTTCTGTTTCTGTGTGAGGAATATAAATCTACAACTCTTCTGCGTTTTTTAGCAACAACGACAACATCAACAAGCACCACGAGCAGTGAGTTTTTCATATTGTCGTAAAAACTCTAAAAGCAAATCTCTTTTTTAGCAACTTCAACTACGAGTAAATTCAATTAAATTCTTCTCTGATAGATTTATCTTTTCCTATATTTTAGCCACTACAACAAGTAAGTTTCGATCTGATTTCATCAACTTGTGTGACCTGAAGAAAGTAATCAACTGAAATCTATCTGTTCTCATTACATTTTATTAGCTACTACATCGACAAGTGAGCTTCTTGTTTAATTCTAATGTTTGGAGAAATCGATTTTTCACTATCTATAGCTTCGACCACCTCAACATCAACTTGTAAACGAGATGATATTTCTCATTGAAAACACAATTGAAAGTATTGTTTTACTTCTAGCAACGTCGACAAGTTCTACAAGTTCAACTTCAACCACAACTACAATAACGACAAGTAGATATTCGTTTAGCTTGACCTACCAAAACCTTTTTCATTCTAGCAACCGAAACGACAAGCACAAGTGAAACAACAACAACAACAACAACTACTGAATCAACAACGACATGTAAAAACACTTTATTTCTGATTCGTTTCCATTAAAATAAAAATCTTCTAGCGTGTTATTTCGGTGGCGATTATGTTCATTTACTCGATGGAGGACAACGTCAAATCAGTAGTTTAAAAGTAGGAGATCGAGTTTGGGCATTGAGTCAAGATGGGAAATATTTGATTGATGATATCATCATGGTTATACCACATGGTGGACCCCAAACTCTAAGTATGTACATACGCTCATGCTTAACTTTCGGAAAATTTCTTTTTTGAATTTAGCTGAATTTTATACGTTTACGACAGTTGAAAATCAAACAATTAGTTTGACAGATACTCATTTTCTCGTCATATTTGATAGTCAAGATAAACAAATGAAAACCATCAGTGCTTCTCGTGTGACGCTTAACCATCGATTAGTAATGATAAATCGCACGATAAGTTTGAAACAAATTGAAATTGTACAACGAATTGGATTTTACTCACCAATTACAATCAGTGGATACTTACTTGTAAATAATCTTTCAACATCTGTCTATAGTGACTTGTAAACTGAAATCGATTTTACTTACATAATCTCAACTGTGTTTTGTTTTAGTTTTCATGCTTCACATGATTTTCATCATAGTTTAGCTGGTCCAGCTCGTGCATATTACAATCTCACTAGATGGTTATTTGGCAATGATTTTCATCCATTTGGAACGAGTATATCACAAGAGCTGCATCCCATATCAAAACTAGTGATTGTGGTTCACGATTTCGTTCAATATGTGTATTCTTATCTTCTCATACCTTTGTCTGTTATCGTTCTCTTTTATTTAACTCAACGAAAATCTAAATAAAATGTTCTATCGAGCTTTTGTTCTGGCTTTTACGTTAAGACTTCTTTCATAAGTAAACCATATGTGCGAATATTTTCAGGCTTTTCCACTACCCAGATATTGTCATCAGTCGTAAAACAAACACCCTCAGGATTGACAGCAACATGTAGCATAACTTTATAGGATTTCTTCCCGAGTTCGGTGTTGATTTGGGCGATACCTGCAAATGTGTTATCTATAAAAAGTGGATTTGGCGAACAATATACACCTGGCCCATATGCAGCTGTTCTTGCTACTTGGAATCCTTTCCTGAAAATACTAAAAGCAGCATCAAGACATACAGTTTTCGGATCGAGTGGAAAGTAAGGAGTTGAAAAATNTTAATTATGTGGCACCTCCACCTGCTCCAGGTAATGTTTTCGCCCATCACTAATACAATTCTCCCGTTCTTCTTCTTTAGTTCTTCCGGGTGGACCAATATGATATGTTCCCTTTTCCCCCTCGAAATTTTTATGACCACGTTCATCAAAACAGGCGACATCAAAGGTAGGTCGTTTCATTAACGGATGCATTTTCATTGATATACGCTGTTGAAATTGCGACTGAACGTTTTTTGGTAGTTCACTCAGCTCTTTCATCGTAATTTCTTTTGAATTTTCTACGGTATAAACGATATTGATCGATCCGACATAAACGTTCTTCAAAACAATATTCTTCTTGTCAGTGTTGTGTGCTGTTGCTAATCGTTCGACAATTTGTTCAAGAACTGGATGTGGTTCATTGCTTCGAACTGCTCTATTCAAGGTGTTGACAATTGTTAAGTCATCTCGGTGACTTTCTACGTCTTCAAATTCACGAATGTCTTTCAACTTCAAAACAAATGGTGTATAATCGAAACTTAAATCTGTTAAATTTCCGAAACTATTATAAAGATTAACACCTTGTCTCGAATTGAAAAATAAACATTCTTGATTTTCATTTTGAAATAATTGATGAACTATATGACATACTGTTTCCATTTGATTGAGATCACCGGAAGGAACTTTAGATAAAATATGTTTGGTAAATTCTTCTGCTTTTTTCACGTCTTCATTTTCTGAATCGGTTATCTCTTCAACATTTGGTAAACTATCGCAAGAAGCTTTCGATTCTGATTGCTCTTTCAAAAATGATTCTTTCTCCTCGGGTACGATTTCAACCCAGATAGGCACTAAAGAAGAAGAACGGGAGAATTGTATTAGTGATGGGCGAAAACATTACCTGGAGCAGGTGGAGGTGCCACATAATTAAGAAATATCTGATGATCTTGTTTTAGTCCATTGATGGATAATGGTCGTTGTTTTTGATGAGTTTCATCATAAACATCGTGGACTATCCGCTGAAAAATATCCACAACTTGAACATTTTCTTCAGCAAGATTCTTCAGTAAATGTTTAGTAAATAGATTATTCGACGCTACTTGATTTTTATCACAAGAAAACTGAATAAAGGCTCCTTCTGTTCTTACGATCTCCGCCAAACCTTTATTATTTACCACGGCGAAATAAAGTATAAAGATAATCTGCTGAAAACTCCTCAGTTTCCATACTTACAACCTCCTGCATATGGTCTACAACAATCGAAGACAAATATATTTGCATATGACGGATTTTGTTCCACTATGCGTCTTAACATTCGATCAACATTGATTCCAAAGGCAATAACGTCTCTCTCCGTTTGAATCCAAGTATCATTGACAGGTATGAGATAATTTGCACCATTGACTTGACATGCATGTCCAGAGAAATACAAGAAAACTAGATCGCCATTGTTGATCGTCTGTGCAAACTTAATAATCAGTTCAGTCAAATCATATTTTTCCACATCGGATTCACTTGTCACGTGAAAACCAATCTTTGTAAGCAGATCACTCAGTCTGTTGACATTCTCGATCGATTGATCGAGTTCATTCGATAATCGATGGTAACCATTATTACCGATAAGTAAAGCTGTTTTTCGATGAACTAGTGTAACCATGAGCTATTTCGATCTAGAAAATAATCAATGGTTGATATGTATGTTCTCTATTCAAAGAATTATTTCTGTAGTTACTTGGACATTTTTATACCTCCACTCATCAGTGTGAGAAAAGTTTATTATCAGTGACTTGGAGAAACAAAAACGTATATATTTATGTACTTTGCCTTTTTCTACCTTATCAAAAAGCAAACACATAAAAGAAATCTATGACATAAAAACTGTAGTCATCATTTTCGGCGACTCAAAAGATAAATACTTCTGTTGGAAAAAATATCGACTTTGAAGATTTATAGACAAAAGATGGCCAATAAACTCCGTCGAAAAGTAGCATTAACTATTGGGAATGGGGATTATACACGATCAGACAACAAGCTGACCCATTGCACAAAGAATGCTGCCGATTTAAGTGATTTATTGCAAAAAATCGGTTTTGATATCAATGAAATACATACAAACATCAAGCGAGATGACGAAATGAATATCATCTTTCAAAAATTTGCCAACACAATTGAAGATGATGACATCATCTTATTTTACTTCTCCGGTCACGGATATCAGATTGATCATGTCAATTACTTGATACCCATCGGAGACAAATACATCGAAAATGAGAGTGATATTGCAGATTTTGGTGTCAATGCTGAACATGCATTGGAATTATTACTGGAAAAGAAGAAATCATACGCAATGATATTCATTCTCGATTCTCCAACATCATATTCTTTCAAGGACAAATCAGAATCCGGCAGTACGATCAAAGAAATTAATGTCGATTCATCTCTTGGA